ATAATATTAACTAACGTATATATAATAATAATAATAGAATATTTCTTCGATGTAACACAACATTTTCATCCTTCGTGAGCATTGTTGTATTGTAAGGATAAAAATATTGTTGCATATATCCAATACATATATTTTTGTTTATTATTTCATTCACTTTTATGCATTAATTAATATTTTGTTGTTATCTTCAACGTAGAAAACATTTGAGTTCAATCTAACCACCCGTTATAACGTTAAAACTTTTCCAATTCTATTAACATTATTGTTTGTTTTTTCAATATATGTATTTTTTTTATTTTTATTTGTTTACTTAGAAAAGATTTTTTCATTTCTTCTTACGTGTACCTTGCTAGAACATCTGTGTGTCATTAAAAAATCATTAAGAAACTCACGTCATTTCAACACACACGCACACACACACATATACACTTGTAACATTGCAACACGACAACGACGACGGACAACGACAACAATAGTCAAAATATTTTATCTTATCTCTTTTCTTTTCTCGATCGTTAATGTTCCTTGATATTTTAAGTTATTTGGAAATATTCATCTCGAGATTATTATCTCATAAGATGAAAATGCTCATTAAGAAATATATTTATCTCGAATGTATATATTTATTTATTTAGAAATATTTCGAAATATTAAAATAGATAGATAGATATGTGTGTGTATGTGTGTGGGGGGAAGGTTTGTTAATAAAAATGAAAATTTTTAAAATATGCAATACAAACAAAGGGGAGGGGGAACAAACATTCGAATCACGTTTTGAAAGCTTTTCCATTGTCAATTGTTTCGTTTTTTCTTCTATTGTTGGAAATATTTTCTTTTAGAATAGGTTCTTACATTCCTATATTTACTTTTCATTTTATTTATATTCTTCAATTATTTATTACATTTTTTGTTGTTGTCGTTAATCATACAAAATTGTTTCTGTTTTGCCCAAAAGTTTTACATTTCATTTATTTATTAATTTTTTATTAATTGGAAAGAGGAAAAAAAAAAACAAAAGGAAAGATCTGTCTTCTTTTTTTTAAATAAATAATTTTTTTTTTATATGCAACTTTTCCTTTTTTTTTGTCTTTGAGCAAAGAAAACCGTGAATTATAAAAATATAAACGATAATGAAGGAAAAGAAAAAATTGTAAAAAAAAAAAAAAATATAACCAGACCGCGGGATGTGAAAAGAAAAAGAAAGAAAAAAAACGAAGCTAAACAATTCTCGATAAAAATTATTTCTGTACAATCAAACGTTGATTAATCGAAAAACTGCAGTAACTTTTGAGAAACGAAACAATAATATATACTCTTTCGATTTTAAACAAAAAAAACATTATTTTTCATTTCGAGATACTCTTTCTTTGTTTAACGACGCGAATAATTATAATTACAAACGGAATAAAACAGAAGTATCGAAAAATCCCCTCTCTCTCCCCCTCACTGCCCCCCTGACCACCTTCGTTTAAATAAAATGAGAAACAAACAAAATTGTCATCGTTGATTGGAAAAATATTGTCACTTCGTTCGTCAAAATTTTATCAAATCCAGCAGACTGTGCACACATTTTACGTTACAATTTTACGATGAATCAAATATATACCTGTGTGTGTGTGTGTGTTTGTGTGTGTACGCACCTGTACCTAAATAAAATGAATCATCATTTTCGATACTTTCGAAGTATACCAAATTTTCGTCCCGTTTTATTTTCTTTACTTTTTTATTATTTATTTTTGAAAAAAAAAAAAAAAAAAAAATAAGAAAAAAAGAAAAAGAAATAAATTTCACATTCGTGTGTGTGTGTGTGTGTGTTCTACACAGATTTATTAACAAATTTATTTATTAATTAATTAATTAATAAATTCAATCGCGTAGAATTTTTTCGAATGATTTTTGATGAAATAAAAGAAATAGAAATAAAAAAAAGGAATTTTGTTAAACATTCGGTCGATTAAATTATTATCGATTACAATTTGAAATTTTTGATATTAACCTTGTTTTTGTTTTTGTTTTTTTTTTGTAAATTAATTAAACAAGTGAATGACTTGGAAGAATAATCATAATTATTGCAAGATCGAATATGGTTGTTACAAAAAGTACAGGTAAATTGAATACACTTTGTTTTTATTTCACGATTGATTGATAATAATAATAATAATAATAATAATAATAATAATAATATACGTTGAGTGGGATGGTTTCACCGATAGATTTATTTGTTTTATATTATTTATATTTAAATTATAATAAAAAAATCAGTTTTGATCGGGTTACACATATGGGTTTTAGTAAAAAAAATGTTTAAGTTTAAAGAAATATTTATATATAAAATTTTTGTTGATCACACACACATATATATACGTTCAAAATAATAATATTAAAAAAATCAGATATTTGTTGTTTCATAAAATAAACAAAAAAAACATAGAATGTTCGTTTATATAAATGAAAAGGAAAAAGAAGAAAAAAAAAAATAATTTGATTGGCAAAAATTAAAATCATCATCCAATAATTTAATGAGAAATAAATAATTTACATCTAATGTTTTTTAAACGTTAGTTAAATTATTTGTTAATATATTTATAATGAAACCCTTTTATCGTTTAATATTTGTATAAGCTTTCCTTAATAGAATGAAACATTTTAAGAGCATCGTAAAGATTCTTCAACGATGAATCATTGGTTTTTCCCAAACCTTTTTTTTTTTTTTCCTTATTCATGAAATTTCCTTAAAGAAAACTAAAGTATCTATAGTCAATAGAATCGACGTGACTAAAGGTTTTATTGTACACAAAAGACAAATACGACAATATGTGGATGTATTTTATTTTTTTATCATAGAATTGAATTTCGTTCACATTTTCCTCGTCTAATGGAAAAGTACAGTGAAATAACGGCTTACCAAATAAAATTCACTATAAAAAATAATAATAATAATAATACTCGTTTATATTTGTTATAGATTATATTTTTAATTTAAATTAAAAATATATTCTATAACAAATATAAACGAGTATTATTATTATTATTATTTTTTATAGTGAATTTTATTTGGTAAGCCGTTAT